CCAAGGGGAAACATTTACCTTTACTTTAAGTAATCTGTGGTGGTTATTTTGGAAAAATTGCATGAAGTGAAATGGCCAGATAGTTCCATATGCTGGAAATTCAGCATCGACAAGGAAAAATCCTGTATTGTATTAGAGAGTAAATCTATGTTTACATGTTGCATGAGCACTCCCACTGTCTATCTGGCATAGCTCCTAGATGTTTTTTTATGTACGTGTAATGTAGTGATGACCAATTCATTTTTTTTTTGTGGTCATATTGTCCATACAATCTGTGTAATGCCGATATACAAGAGAGGTAACAAAGGAATAGAGAACCTTTCTAGACAAGGGGGGAAAAATTATTTATTTATTTCACAGTTTTCTATACTGAGCTTCTCAACCTCATTGAGGGACTCAGCCCGGTTTCCAGCCATAAAAAACATATACACTCATTAAAATATCATATATCACAATTACAAAAACAACTTTAAAAAACACTATATATAAAACTACAGTGGTCAGTCGTCCTATTAAGATGGATCTACATCAACTTCCATCCAGGGTCCTATGGTGTTGTCTCATTCATCGAAGGCCTGTTTCCACAGCCACGTCTTCACCCGTTTCCTAAATGTTAGGATGGATGGGGTGGTTCTGGCCTCCAGAGGGAGAGAGTTCCAGAGTCGCGGGGCCACCACCGAGAAGGCCCTGTCCCTCGTCCCCACCAGGCGCGCTTGCGAGGCCGGTGGGACCGAGAGCAGGGCCTCTCCAGATGATCTTAATAATCTTGATGGTTCGTAGGGGAGAATATGTTCGGAGAGGTAAACAGGGCCGGAGTCGTTTAGGGCTTTATAGGTCAACACCAGCACTTTGAATTGTGCTCGGAAGCTAATTGGCAGCCAGTGGAGCTGGCGTAACAGCGGAGTGGTGTGCTCCCTGTACCCAGCCCCCGTTAGTAATCTGGCTGCCGCGCGTTGGACTTGCTGCAGCTTCCGGGCAGTCTTCAGAGGCAACCCCACGTAGAGAGCGTTGCAGTAATCTAAGTGGGATGTAACCAAAGCGTGTACTACCGTGGCCAAGTCAGCCCTCCCAAGGTACGGACGCAGCTGGCGCACAAGGTTTTGCCCATTTAAGCCAATATTATTTTGGGTATCCTCATGATATATTGTGTGTTCAAGTGCGCCATATACAGTGCTAATAGGCATCAAAAAGTGTGCCGTATATAGTGCTACTAGGCATCAAAAAGGTCTCTCACAATGCTAATCTGAAAGAGAAGAGAAGAAGGGACAATAGAAGAAGATAAAAAAGGCAACACAGATCCTGAAGGATAATTTGCTATTCTTGTTAGAGAAGATTTTATAGTTGGAAATTTTTCCCTTTTACTTCACGTTTTTCCTATACTAAAGAATATGTATAATGATACCGCCCCCCCCCCCCGTCTTTGACGATACAATAGACTTGTGTATTTAACCAACATGACTCTGTAACTAATATACTATATCCTGTGATGTTCCCCGTCTTTCCCTTCTTTTTTCCTTTTTAATTGTTTATTTGAGTTTCCCCCCCTCTTATTTTGAAAACAAAATAAAATCTTATTTGCAAAACAAACAAACCAAAAAGACTCGTGTCTAGCAAGATGTCATGCTTCTGACTAATAATGTCTTTGAGAATCTCAAGCAGAAACCTGTTTTACAGTCCAAACCAAAACTACAGTTGACATTCTTACTTCTCTCTAGAAGTCAGTTTCTTGTTTGCCAGATCAGATCTGATTTTATCAAACAGAATGGATTTCAGAAACCCATGCATACAACTAGTAGCAGTGCTTATATATGGTGTACCCCAGCTCTCTTACTCCTGGATATGGACATTCTAGCCACTTGTATTGTGACTCTATCTGAAGTTTGCCCATGGTAAAACTTGGCTATAGAACCAAGTGTTTGGAAAGTAGTTACAGTGCAATGTGCTGCTATGAGATTAATATAATATAATTGGATCGACTTTGGACTATTTCGGGACCATGTGCTAAGTTTTTAACTTTTTATTTTAAATATTTTTATATGTTGCTGTTTTGATTTTAATCCACTATATATTTTTTATTTTGTTGGTTTTATGTTTTAATATGGCATTGAATTATTGCCAGTTTGGAAGCTGCCCTTCAGGGTTGAAATACAGCAGGGTAAAAATACAGCAAATAAACAAACACATAAATAAATAAATAAATAAATAAATAAATAAATAAATAAATAAATAAAGTGCATTAGAAAGCATCAGGATTTCTTATATGGGCAAATGCCTTCTATTGCATACTGGCCATATCTGTTAAGAGAAGTAGACAGTGTCAAGAGAAGTAATACTCTGTATGTGCTGGCCCGTTTAAAAATATTAAAATTACAAGTGATGGCTTATGTTTGCAGACCCACAGGTCTGTTTGAAATCAATATACATAAAAGTGCCTTCTCCTCCACTTTAACTGTCTTAAAAGACAGTGAAAATAATTGAAACATTAGAAGTTTTCCCTTTTAATTCATTGTTCATTTTAATAGGTTTTTCTCCCAATGATATTAACTTTCTTCTCTGACAACTTACTTGGTCAGGACAAGCTTTTCAGCATTTCTCTTTGGTATTATCTTGATTCACTAACAAATCCTAAGTAAATATTTAGTCATCAAGTAACATCTAACCAGAAAGAGTTGCATGAACTGTCCCAAGCAAAATTCTTCGTAATCTTATTGGGCAGTTAACACCAGTCAGTAAAAATCTTATTTTCTTTCCATTATTTTGTCCTTTTGGCTATTATCCAACATTTATTTATAGTGGTCAAGAGATCTTAGAATCAGGATTAGAGAGACCAGAAGTAGAACTCTTGATTATCTATTGATAAAAAAAAAGGTTTGCATATCAAGGATAAAGTTGCTCATACTTTCGCAGAGCTTGTTATCACAGTATCTGAAGTAGTGTCTAGTGTCTCATCTTAATCATACTTCTTTGGGTCAGTTTCAGTTGCTTCAACTTGATGACATAGAAAAACACCTGAGTCAATATATCTCCCCACCTGTAAGGTTGACCTTTGTCTCTCTTGACCGATAAGATTAAGTAGATATATAGAGTGGAACCTAAGGTAATAAATGCCTCATTAAATAGGGCGTGTCACTTTGAAAAAGGTTATAGTGCACCATACTCAGAAAACGTTTCTCCAGGATCTACAATCACATGAGCACCACTGACCCATTGATAATACCTCTTTATTGAGCTATTATGTGCTCCCACACATTACCTGAAAAGGGATATTTTTGGACATTCTTGGAAGATACAGATTGTTTGGTTATATCTGAAATTTGGTTTCAAGCCATAGTTTGGTAATGAAACAGACCCAACCAATGGCCTGTTCTGAGGAATACATGGGAAGAGTATTGCCATGAATGTCTTAGGCATTTTGATGTCATTCACCTATTAGAGCAGTTCTGTAGGATGGGAATAGGAAGCGCTTCTTTTGATTTTTAGCTACAGGACCAATTTCAAAATATAAATGTGAGAAATCTATAATAATTACTTTTTCTTAAATGAGATATCTGAATAGCTTGAAACGTCTTTCTTGTCAAGGAAGAGAAAACTTGTTTACATTTGTTACATTCATCGTTTGATGCTAAGTAACACTTCTGTCTGTCACCACTGACAAAGTTAGAGTTAACAAACACATAATTCCAGTTGTCTTCTGTTTTTTTAAAAAAAATGTGATCATGCTCAAATACAATTGAATAAAAAGCAAAGCCTTGTGATTTCTGTGATTTGTTTAATATTTTAGACTCTCTAACTGTTATCTTTTGAAATCATTTAAATGGCTTTTTCTACCCTGTGATCTTTTGATATACCAGGTGAAAAATATATAAAAAATAAATACTTAAAATAAAATGGAAAAGATGAGAAACTCAGGAGGCATGGCTAGTTCTGCTTGCCTCTTTCTGGCAGGACTATGGACTTGATGTGCCAAACCTCTAGCTCCAATTTCTTTGTTATTCTACTGTCTGACTCTCAACTCCTTCATAAAATGTAAATGTATATTAATTAGTAATACTAAGGGTACTGTAGCTAAATTGTAGCACAAAGTATTTCATCACCATGTTGTGACTCATCAGGCTACTTCAATAGAATATAAATATTATTTGATTTACATTTCTGAATAAGAAAGTGTTCTTAAATTCCCATAAAAGTAAATATGCAAAAAAAAAACAAACAAACCCATAATTGTTCAATATATTCTAAGCTTTTGTTTTAAATTGGAATTGATACATTTCTAATATTGCGCTTGGCTCCATAAACCTACTCCACTTCCCTGGTTTTAAATAATATACCTCCATATGTGAAACATGTAATTTCTTTCAGAATGCCCTGTGCTTTGGCCTTACACAGAACAGTACAGGGAAGATTCCTTTGCATCCCCAGGAATACTTGACATGGAAAAGAAAGTCTTGTGCATCTATCCTGGGATGTTAAATCAAACTGATGAAATTTACTTCCAAGCATGAATATGTTTGCAACAAAAATCATATCAGCTGTTCTGATTTCAAGGAAATATATAGCTCAGAGTCCCCTTGGGGAAAGAGAGTGGTCTATAAATAAAGTTGGTGTTACATGTGTGAGCTTGCTGGTGTTTTTTTTAGTCCCTAGCCTGCCCTAGTTCTGATCTTTTTGTTATGTACAAAATTCGCTTTATAGATGTGTTTTACCCCTTGCCCCTCCACAGTTGTCCACTCATGTTAATTTCACTTTAGATTTTCTTTCTTGTCAGTTTATTGCTCTCACTTTCTGGATCTGGTTTTTTGAATCACCAGGCCAAATATACTCAGAAATAGATCTAACATTTGAGGTGCCAAAATTTGTGTTGTCTTTGATTTGGGGCTCATTTCCCATTCTTCACAATTGTTTAATTATTAGATTGGGAAATGAGGCAGAATATGTGCACTATTGTGATAAAGGCTTTTAATCATGCTTTTCTCTCTCTCAATCCTCCCTGTTCCACATAGGGGATGGATGTGGACCTATGACCTTCTATCAAGATAGTGGAACTCTGGCGTCCAAGAACTATCCTGGAACATATCCCAACCACACCATATGTGAGAAGAAAATTCAGGTGTCTCAGGGGAAACGGCTGATTCTGAAAATCGGAGATTTGGACATCGAATCACAAAAGTGTGAATCTAATTATCTTAGCATCCACAGTTCTACTACAGTGCATGGTATGTAAATACTGTTAAGGTTGAATTATCAGGAGAGTTAACATTGAGTAAAGGGATGGCAGAAAAATCCTTTTGGTTTTGGTTTTAATGTGGACTGAACTAGTTTATTTATTTATTTATTTATTTACTGCATTTGTAGACCGCCGTTCTCAGCCCTAGGGCGACTCACGGCGGTGTACAACATATAAAAACAATTTACAATAAAGGCAATATCACAAATCACAATAACAACATCATTATCACTAATACAATTACACTAAATCAATTCGCGACATCTCATCATAGAATCACAATCCAATCTCGTTTTCCATATTCCGTTCCAATCATCGTTTTCAGTTGTTGTAGCACTTAGTTAAACGCCTTCTCAAACAACCACATCTTTAGTCTCTTGCAGAATGTCATAAGGGAGGGCGCCTGTCTGATGTCTACAGGGAGGGTGTTCCACAGCCGGGGGGCCACCACCGAGAAGGCCCTATCCCTCGTCCCCGCCAGGCAGGCGGGATCGAGAGAAGGGCCTCCCCAGACGATCTCAAAGTCCTCGTGGGCTCATAGGCCGAGATGCGGTCAGACAGGTATTTTGGGCCGGAACCGTTTAGGGCTTTGTAGGCCAACCAGCACCTTGAATTGGGCCCGGTAGCAGATCGGCAGCCAGTGGAGCTGGAACAAGGGCGTTGTGTGCTCCCTGCGTCCCACTCCTGTTAGTAACATGGCTGCCGCGCGCTGGACTAGCTGAAGCTTCCGGGCCGTCTTCAAGGGCAGCCCCACGTAGAGAGCGTTGCAGTAGTCAAGGCGGGATGTGACCAGAGCGTGTACTATCGTGGCTAAGTCAGACTTCCCGAGGTACGGGCGCAGCTGGCTTTATGCTTTCTGAACTAATGCATGAAGTGGTATTTCATGATGCTAAAACAAATACTGCCAAAACTAAAATACTGCTATTATGTAGTTCAAATTTGATCATTCCTGATGATGAAACATTGTTAAAAAAAACTGTATATGTTAGAGGAAAAAATACAGAAAACATATACTTTAAGTATAGAAGACCTTCCCCCAAAGCATATACTGCACTAGTTAATATGGTATACAAAATGCAAAGAAATCTTTTTGTGTGTGTATATTTCCATGGACGTTGGAAAAAAAAAACATTAACAAGCTTAGCTGGACCCAAGATGAAAAAGCATGAACATTAGAGAGAGTAAAAGATCTATTTCTTTATTCTTTTCTGTGTATGGAGTAAGAAGCTATTACTATCTCACTATGTCAAGATTTGTCTCAAACTAGGCTAGAAATTTTTGTGTCAGGCAACATAGTTCTGTTAGCATGGCTCTTTTCTGTATTGTTGCAGTGCTACAAAGTTGCATAAGCATTGCCTTAAGTTTATCTTCATTATATATTCTTCAAAATATTTGAACTTTCCGTTCATATCTCTAGTGGAAATATGTCTTAGCATTGTATATTCCTTGCTAAAAGAACAAATACAGTTTTTTCCCAAAATGGAACCAAAAAATTGCAAATAGAGTTATGCAAAGGAAGAATACTTTGGTTTACATGTATTACAGAACCTTTATTTTTAGGCTTAGAAGTAATCAAACTTCTGAGCCTAAAAATAAAGGTTCTGTAATACACTTAAAACAAGTCAAAGTATTCTTCTTTGCATAACTCAATTTGCAATTTTTTGGTTCGCTTTTGGGAGAAAAGCAGTATATAAATTAAATAAGTACATTGTAACTATTTTGCTAGTGACAGTCAACTGCAGGGCATGTTATTGAAATTTTATTTTTCTATCTTGCTGGTTCTTGAAATTTCAGCAGTTATTTCTTCTTCACATACAGCATAGACTGGTAGATATAACTTTCTGAAACTAAAATTTAGAACCCAAAGGAAATCTGAGATTCTTGGGACCTGAAAACTACCAACAGTATATGTTTTCCTGAATAATTACAGCATTGATGCACAGCTGAACCCACCCTCATATTAAGAACACCAGACACCTTGGCAGTGTTAAGCCATCTAATGTATTTTAGATAAGCTTTTTGCAGGATTCAGCCTGTTTGAATGCATATTGTGATGGAGAAACTGTTCACATAGTAACACAGATGTAGAAAAATAAGCTAAAATAGTGGGTCAAAAGATAAAGAAAAAAGGACAGAAGATAATTGTATGTGAATTTCAGAAGAGAAATGCATTCAAACTCCAGCTACTAGAATAGGCATGCACTGTGTATCTCATGCTGTGATTTTGCTTTTAGGAATTATGTTGCAACCTCTATTAAAATGAGGCTGGTTTTAAACCCAATAGCATGTACCCAGTGGACAGTGATGCCAGTGATTCATAATCGGGCAGCTTGACAATGGACACATATTCCTATGTGTTTAAATCTTCCTTCTTTTAATTTATGTTTAAATGTTAGAACAGGGGTCCACAAACTTTTTAAACAGAAGGCCAGGTCACAGTCCCTCAAACTGTTGGAGGGCCGGATTATAATTTGAAAAAAAATATGAATGAATTCCTATGCACATTGCACATATCTTATTTGTAATGCAAAACACACTTAAAAACAATACAATAATTAAAATGAATAACAATTTTGACAAATATAAACTTATTGGTATTTCAATGGGAAATGTGGGCCTACTTTTTTGGCTGATGAGATAGGATTGTTGTTGTTGTGTGCTTTCAAATAATTTCAGACTTAGGTTGACCCTGAGCGAGGGCCGAGTAGATGAGCTTGGAGGGCCGCATCCGGCCCCCGGGCCTTAGTTTGAGGACCCCTGTGTTAGAATAAGCTACAAACATGTCCTGTTGTAGAAGATAACAAGATAGCCAAACTCTAATAAATGCTGTACAACTTTATAGCCAAAATATGAGGGGTTATTTTTCTCTTCAGGAGATTTGAGAAACTGCAAGTTGTTTCTGGTGTGAGAGAATTGGCTATGAGAGAAGGTTGGCTCCCGTTTGTCAGCTCCAGCTTCCCATTCGGGGAAATGAGAAAAGCCTCCCAAACGATGGTCAAACATCTGGGCATCCTCTGAGCAAAGTCCTTGCAGATGGCCAATTTTCTCACACCAGAAGCAACTTGCAGTTTCTCAAGTTACTCCTGACACACACAAAAAGAGATGGAAGAAGAAGAAGAAGAAGAAGAAGGAGAAGAAGAAGAAGAAGATTACCTGCCTCTCCTTGAGGCCGCACACAACACACTTAAAAGCACATAAAAGATACTTATTTCCCCCGTGTCTGCCAATTTTGAGAGTGCTAACCTTTGACTTGAACAGGGACATTTAAAAAAAATACACAACTTTCTCCGTGTGTGTGCATCAGTTCCCCCAGCATAAGGGTATCTGTACTATCATCTTTCTAGTAATTCATATTATTTAACTTTGTCTCTCTCTGCTTCCATGTTCAGCAATAAAGTTTGTTTTTACAGACTCATGTAAACTATTTCAAGGACCCATAAACCTTAAGGAACATATAAAAGCAGTCTTCCATGGGTTTATCTGACCTAGTATTCTGTTCTCTGACTGGCAAGGACACTAGTGATTCTTGAAAGGAACCCCCCCCCCCCCCACACACACACACACTTTCCCCTAAGATCCTTCAAAGTGAAGATATCAGGGTTTGTACCTAGGCAAGCAATGTTTTATTTACAATCTCACCTTAAAATATTATGTAGCTGTTCTTCAGATTTTTTGAATCAATACGACACAGAGGCCTTGTAGATTTATACCTGCTGTATATGTAGTCTATAAATGATTCTCTGAATTAATATCAGAGGCTAGTGCAGCCTTTTCGAGTTTCCTCAGGGAGATTGGATATAAAAAATTGTTCTTGTTGTTGTTGCCATCCCTCCACATTTGCAGCTTAGGCTTTTGCAGATTTGATTATTCATTTGATTAAAGCATTCTCTCTAGGAATCTCTGGGTCCTCAGATGTGATTCTATGGTAAGCTTCCAGTGAAATTCAACCATAGAGTCATGCTGGAAGACCTAGAAATTCATAGAGAGGTGTTCTCTCAGGCAAAAAAAGAATACCAATTTCGTTAGTCACAGTTTTTCACAATAATTCTGTGCCCCTATCCTCCGGGGAACATGGAGGGCTGACTGCACTGTTAATAATCTTTACTTTACATTGTTTAAGAGCTGTTTGTTTTTGTGTTGTATGATATGCATACTTGTTAGAGTAAGTAAAGAGCATTTCCTGTCCATCATGAATGTTTTCTTCACTCCTAAGAATCTTGCTGCAATTCTTCATTCCTTTCTTCCCTTTTTCTTTTTCTCTAAACACTGAGACTGTCTGGCATACGCGAATGTTGTCTGGGTATTCTGTGCCATAATCCTGGAATACTTTTTGGTGTACTGTTTTGACAGACCAGCCAGCCTTAGGATGAGTCAGCTGTCTTAATTTACCTGAGCAATAGACAGGTCACTGAGAGAAAACTGAGAAAAGTTCAGAAGAAAAGTATCTGTGGGAAAAACATGAGGCAACAACACTTATGTAATAAAGGAAAAGAAGGGAAAAGACTAGTTTTCTCATGACCTTCAAAATATAAAACACAAATATTTTCCTTTCCCTTCTGTTTTTATCAGTGTGTTGGTTTGTTCCCCGTTTAGCTTTTATGGCATATGGCACGGCATATCTAAGTATAAATATAAATCGATAGTCTTGCTTTACTTTTTTCTTCCCCATAATAAAACATGAGATTGAATATTTTCAACAGTATGGTCTCTGTATTGAATGGGTATATATTTCAGGAATCCAACCTCATGTCCCCTGGATACCTAGAATCATAAGTTGGAAGAGACCCCAAAGGGTCATCCAATCCAACCCCTGCTACCATGCAGGAACACAGAATCAAAGCACCCCCAACAGATGACCATTTAGCCTCTATTTGAAAACCTTTAGAGAAGGAGACTCCATCATGCTCTGAAGCAGCATACCTCATTGCTGAACAGCATTTACCATCGGGAAGTTCTTCCTAATTTTTAGGTGGAATCTTTTTTCCTTCAATTTGAATCCATTACTTTGTGTATGAAAACTGTGGATAACAGCGGATCCTAAACTTTGACTATACTTGAGCTAGAAACATATCATAGAAATCCATAGACCTAGAGAAGCCCACAAACACTTCTGGGAGGTTGGAAGAGGCTGAAGTGTGGGTAAATAAAACCGGATATTGAATCAGTGGATGAGGGACTCATACTGTACTCATACTCAGACAAGAAATATTTGTTATAGGGATGGGGGGAATTCAAGTGATTGTCTTTGTCTACATTAGGGAGTGGAAATTGTGTAGCATGCAGGTCACATGCAGACGTGCATGGGTTTTCTTTATCAGTTTTGCATATCTCCTAAATTTCCCAGTTTTTTTTCATATCAGAAGCAACTTGAGAAACTGCAAGTTGCTTCTGGTGTGAGAGAATTGGCCGTCTGCAAGGACCTTGCCCAGGGGACACCTGGATGTTTTACCATCCTTATAGGAGGCTTCTCTCATGTCCCCGGTGGAAAAAATCCACTCCAAATGGTAAACTTCTATGTAGCATGCAATCTCCTAAATAAGAATGCCCCTAAACTCTGGAAATTAAAAAAAAATGGAAGTGATTTCCATTTTCAGCCAAAATCAAGCCAAATGTTGTAGTACAGTCTGCCACAGGAGGATAGGGATGACTATTGATATCCTTGCTCAACGTGGCTATCTACCTTTGAATTAATAGCAGCTTTTCTCAACCTGGTCCCCTTTAATTTGCCTTCACTATTGGCCCCATTGAGATATATAAGAGTTTAGTATATTTCAAAATCCAAAATAGTCCACATGAGTGGATAAGACAGTGACACCGTTTCTTTCTGCTGGTTCAGAGAACACAAACTTTGTCTCATGCACACACAAAAAATATTGCGGATAAAATTACCCTTACACTATGTGTATAAAGTGTATATGAAACATATATGAATGTCATGTTTACACTTGGATTGCATCTCCAAGAGATTTGAATGATGTATATGCAACTATTCCAAAATTCAAAACACTTCTAGTCCCTAGAAATGTTTTGGATAAGGGGCACTCAACCTGTAATAAACTATATGGATGTGGTGAACGGAAGCCTAGTACAGATAAATGGTGTTGTTATGGATGGGTTAGTGACTGTCCTGTCTGGGATTGTGCCTGAGTTGTCGTCTTTCTCTGTTGTTTGGTACTCAAATGGTGTCTGTGGCCCCTCCAGGATTACAGGGATTTTATGCTTGCAGATTGTGTCGGCTTTAACTGTGTTTATTATTGTAATCTGCCTTAGAAGCTGAATGTTTAGATATATCAAAGACATAATATTTGGCTGCTGTGATATACATCCTGTAGTAACACTTCACCAACGCACTGTTTTGTGGACTGCCAGACATGTGTTGTTGAAACGGCTTTTATCCACAAATGTGCAACAAAACTAAAGTCTTGTTTCATGTCTTTGTTCAGAAGGAATTTTGATATTTCAAACTGGAATTCGGTATTTTTTTCCATCTTCAGGTTGGATCTCTTTAATTGTTCTGTTTTTAAAAAAGGTTTGCTTAAAGCAATCCTCCTGTCATTCAAAGTTTTAAAAGAAACAATAGTAATTTCATAGAAATATTGTGTACTTCTTTATATGTCTTCTTAACCTAGAAATACAAATACGAGAAAATAAGGTAAAGCAAAGAAAGAAATCAATATCTTTAACTCTGCTTTTACCATACAGTTTTGCAAATATCTAAATCATCTCTTAATCAGAGAAATGAAACAATTTTCAAGAAGTGTGTGAGGAGGGGATGTTTTCTTCATGTTAGGTAATCATACCTGTTAATTTGCACACTGTGTTATACTATAGAGTGAATTGACAAGTAGCAGGTTGGGGAATCAAGTTTTTACAGGTCCAGTGATAGTTTCATGGTAGCATTCGGCATCCTCTGGAAAATGCTGGATTGTACTTGGAGTCTACTTCTATTACTTTCTGGACCTGGCTACATGTTTTCATGATGTTATGTTTTATTGTGACATGTTTCTATTTGGTTTGTTTTTGTTTTTATTTTATTGCATTATGCTTTAACTGTGTGCTGTCTTGGCTTGTAAGCCGGCCCAAGTCCCTTCGGGAAGATGGAGATGGGGTATAAAAATAACGTTAGTATATTATTATTATTATTATTATTATTATTATTATTAGCCAGGCCATCTGGTACTCCCAACATTTTGTCTCCAAATTCTGTTGGACTTCAGTTCCTAGAAGCCCATTCAGTAGAGCAATGGTTCTCAACCTGGGGTCCCTAGATGTTTTTGGCCTTCAACTCCCAGAAATCCTAACAGCTGGTGAACTGGCTGGGATTTCTGGGAGTTGTAGGCCAAAAACATCTGGGGATCTCAGGTTGAGAACCACTGCAGTAGAGGATAAGGACCACTTGAATTGAGTGACTGCACCCAATGGCACTTTGGAGCATTTTGTTTTTCCACAATGGAATATTTGTAACTAAATACTTGTATACCTTAATAAATATTGTTGTAAGTCATATGATATCTGGATACTTATTCAATAGAAATGTATCTTTTTTTTCCTTCTAGTCTTTTATGAAATAATTAATTTTTATTTGGTTTTGCCTTGTGAGCTGTCTTACGGAGAATACATAAATATTCAGTTGACTTTGAATGCTATACTTCTTAAAGGCTATTGCTTTTTACGTATGAACCTGGAGCAATTATTAATACGGAATAATAATTATTGGCTTCAAATATGTATATTATTATGTACATTGATAGATAATGAATGTTCTGTATTTACAATCATTATTTTCTTCAAAGCGGAACGAACATTTTCCACAAATATACACAAAATCCCCTTATTTGATTTTTTTAAGGACCATACTGTGGAAATGTGCCTGTCCCAGAGGAAATCATCTTAGATTCCAATGAAGCAACTATTCACTTTGAGAGCAGGTCTCATGTTTCTGGAAGGGGTTTTCTTCTGTCTTTTGCTAGCAGTGACCATCCAGGTAAGATTGAACCCCAAAAATCATTTCAAGCTAGAGCAGAGGTTGATGCTGAGAGTTGATTAGCAGAGTGCTGCATTTTAGAACAAATGTGTAGAAAAAAGAAAATGTTTCACCTTCAGTGACGTCTGGTGTCTGCATACTACTTTGTTATGGCCCTTGGAGGACCTGGGGCCTAAACCGATCTCCCATTTTGTCACAGTCTTGACCTGCTCTCTGGGCCCATGAACCCAGACTTATATCCACATCAGCATTTCTTTCCATTCCTCTGAACTTCTTGAAGCATTTCAGATAGAGGTGAGCATGCAATACGGGAAGCAAAAGTGTGGCCAGGAAACCCTTTGAGGAATGTGTTAACAGATATCTTTGGGACGTCTGGCATCTCTCTTCAGGCTTGTCATGCCCCCCACCTCATTTTTTGGCAGAAGAATATTATGCAAAATCCAAAAGAATGCAGCCTGAGAGGGTACCATTCCTAGTCATTCAAAATAACCACTACAGCAGGCATGGGCTAACTTTTTTGCCTTGGGACTACATTGTGGGCCCAGCTGGGAGGGTCAGGTTGAGTCAGGAAGGCAGCTGGGCACACACTGGGTGGAATGGGCACAGGAGGGGGGAGGACCTGGGAGAGGGCCCAGGGCATCATGAGGTTGTCCTCCTGACAATGCTGGGATGAAAATGAGATATGCGGCAACTTCCCCAATCCTCCTCCCCCAATCTTCAGGCTGTGCTCTCAGCTTTATGCCGGGAGGAGGGCTAGACAGGCAATGTCTGAGAGCAGTTCGGAGGACTCTCAACCGCTTTGTGCTTTCCTTAGGCCGTCCTCCCGGCATAAGGATGGGGCTGCTTGCACCATCCTTATGCCAGGAGAAGAACAAGGCATGCATGGGCTGAGAACCCTCCAGAGAGCTCTCAGTTACTGCGTGCCTTCCTCCCCTGTCCTTTCTGCATAAGGATGTGGTGGGCCACCGCACCCTTATGCAGAGAGGACAGGGAAAATGGAGGGTCTGAGGTAAATGCCGAGGGGGCCACATCAGGCCCCTGGGCCTTAGTTTGCCCATGCCTGCACTACAATGATGTGGCTGTGTTATTCTAGAATTTTAGCAGAGCCAGACATTGTGTAATACAGTCTCCAGGTCCCAAGTGTGCCCATTTCTGTTGTAGTGGGAAGAGACTAACAAGAAGAATCTGACTTTGAATAATTATTTTCAATTGGAAGTCAAATCAGAAAATTCCTGTATGCCCATGGAAGCACTCTGAAGACCCCCATTCAGGACCTCTTTCTCCTTCTCCCCCATTTGTATATAGAAATACATTTCTGTCTCTATAACAGCACTGATTCTATTTCTCATATTTTGTGGAGAAGGAAATACATGCTAAACAGGAATGTGAACAATCCCTCTTGAGAATATGTAATGTATTTTCCCATAGCTTAAGGTTCCTGATTCTGTGAGGTGGAGATGACGTTTCTGCTCATATCCCACAATGAAAATGTAGGTTCTGTACGATTGGAGGATTTGGCTGAACTGAATTCATTGTGTTTGTTCATGTTACTTGCTTCCTTTCATGTGACATAGTAAAAAAATATGGTTCAAACTGAATGCTGTTTCAGAAAAGAGTTCCAGCTTTTCAGAGGATAAACTAGAGATAAATTTATTTCAAAAATTCACCAGAGAGAGGTTAAATGATTTGAATGACTGAAAGAACTACTTAAAATATTGCTATGAAATATTTGTGATATAACAAATCAGGAGGAGCCCCCGGTGGCGCAGTGTGTTAAAGCACTGAGCTGCTGAGCTTGTTGATCGAAAGGTCGCAGGTTCGATTCCGGGGAGCGGCGTGAGCTTCCGCTGTCAGCCCTAGCTTCTGCCAACCTAGCAGTTCGAAAACATGCAAATGTGAGTAGATCAATAGGTACCGCTCCGGCGGGAAGGTAACGGCGCTCCATGCAGTCATGCCGGCCACATGACCTTGGAGGTGTCTACGGACAACGCTGGCTCTTCGGCTTTGAAATGGAGATGAGCACCACACCTCAGAGTCAGACATGACTGGACTTAATGTCAGGGGACTACCTTTACCTTTTACTAACAAATCAGGAAGAGTATTCCTTAGTTTAATTAAAACTGCTCCATTGTACAGAAACATTAGGAAAAAGGAAGTGGCAGAGACATTCCTTGAAGACATATGTTTGACCCTGGCTTTCATCAGCTGAAACAGCAAATGTTCTAGAGTGACACCTGACTTAGATACATGGTTTTTATTGAAATACTGATGTGATATTGACCAAGACTTCTCTTCAGAGTTTTGACTCACCTCTTACCCTGGTAATTGATATTTATCATACTGACTAAATCTGTTTGCTGCAGACCTCAGCCTTTTTCTTTGATCACAGTTATCATTATACAAAAATATTCTGAAAATGACCATTACAAAGGTCTCTGCTATGACTGTGTGGGAAGTTTAGTTTGTGAATGAGTCCTCTCTGACACAAGTTTTCTGACATAATTAATCCTGTAGGAGGAACATGTTGGCCCATCTTAAACAAATCTGGGAGCAGGGTAGGAGTAGAAAAGGGAAATGCTGAAAGTATTATGCGGCTATAGATTGATAGCTCTTGAAATGAGTTTGAAAGGGAAACATTTTAGCTTTATTTGAGTAGCTTCACTGTATTTCTTTATACATTCACATTCACAAAGAACTTTTGCTTTCAACAGATCTAATCACATGTTTAGACAGAGCAAATCACTATGTGGAAACGGAATACAGGTAAATATAGATTTGGGAACCTGACATTTTGGCTGTCATGTTGTGTCTTGCACTTTATAGATATAATGCTGTAACCGGATGAAGTACACGATCACTTGTTATATGCTTGAAACTCTTCTGCCAACCACAGGAATGTATTTTCCTGGAGATATTCAGAGGTATCTGAATCTGTGATTATCTCCTTGATACTTATCTGTCTTCCTCTGAAAAACTGCATTCCAGTGAAATTAAGAAATGCTACTGCAGACCTCTGTGCTATTTTAGTGGAAGCCAGCACTGCCTTCCTATACATGTGTGTGCTTGTATTTGTATGTACATGTATATGGGCACTTCACACCAGTTCCTATTTCTAACAAGATCCTTTTCTTTCTTTTTTTTTATGGCAGCAGGTACTGTCCAGCTGGTTGCAGAGACATAGCAGGTGATATTTCTGGAAATATAGTGGAAGGCTACAGAGATGTAAGTTTATAAAATCACCTAGGGAAAAGATAGCATTGTTTTCAGAACATATTTTATCAATAAAAAAATCAATATTGAGTTCAGTGGCCTGTAAAGCAACTTGCTTTGCAAAGTGGAGGATAGTCCCTTGTTTAGAAGACAAAAAAAAATTGAAATCAATATAATGAACTGGCTCAGGTTATAAAAGTCAAATTGTGTTGTGTTGTTTTCATAGCCGGAATCGCTGTGAGTTTTCTAGGCTGTATGGCCATATTCCAGTCTTCTGTAATTCTCTCGACGTTTCATCTACTTTTTGAGCAAGACTCAAAAAGCAGGGAAATTCTAGACAAGAATCAGTCAGGGCCAGCTTACACTCCCAACAATGGATTCCCCCAGGCAGCCATCAGGCAGGCCTTGAAACTGCAGGCCATTAATGCTAGTCAAGGTGGCCAATTGCACACGCTTGATTCACACGTGCCTCAAGCAGATAAGAGTTCTTTTCCCAACCCTGGACATTCTACAGATATATAAACCACACTTACTTAATTTTCAACAGACCCTTCAATCTCTGCCATAGATGTGGACTAAATGTCAGGAGAGAATGCTTCTGGAACATAACCATACAGCTCGGGAAAACTCACAATAACCCAAATTATGGTTGTTGGGAGTCATTTTTCCCTTGTTTAAAAATTCTATAAAATTGGTGAAGTTGAGACCATGACTAGTAGGTATATATACTAACTAATCAGCTATCTTCTGAATGTCTTAACATACCTAGCTTGGATAAAGTGTAAGTGGTTTATTCCCCTGGTTGTCACAATTCTTTCTTATTATTGAGGATCAGGATAGAAAAGTATGTATTGTACCACTGAGCAACCAAATAGTTTTATTCCTGTGTCTGGAGGCTAAGTGGTATTGTGACTGTTTTGATGTAATAGATGTAATAGAAAATATAGTGACTGACTATCCCTTTCATAGTTCAGTCAGCTCTCCACATTTGTTGGGGATAAAGACACAGGACCTCTGAGAAAGAGAAAATCCATGAATAAAAATACAAATGTTTTTAGCGGAGAGAACAGCTTTCCAGGAATCTAGGTCAGTGGTTCTCAACCTGTGGGTCCCCAGGTGTTTTGGCCTACAGCTCCCAGAAATCCCAGCCAATTAGGAAATCCAGCTGTTAGGATTTCTTGGAGTTGAAGGCTAAACATCTGGGGACCACCCACAGGTTGAGAATCACTGCTCTAGGTCCTCCAGTGTGAGTCTGGTCAGTCTTTGATAGAAGTTGACCGTCGAGTTGCACTGGAGGACTTAGAGATTTCTAGAGAGTCCATATCAATCAAACTGCAAATAATTAACTCTATGAAAGCTAAACCCACAAATGTGGAGGGGTGACTGTAAGAGTCTTCTGAATATGTGTGTCTGTGTGCTTCGTGTGTACAGGCCTGCATTGTAAGGTCTTGGTTACAGGTAATTGGCATGGGATTTTTTTCAAGCCATTTCTTTTTATTCAGTTTGTAAAGTAGCCATAGCTGATCTGATGTAGGGGGGAAACCCTCAGCTTTGCCACACGCATGATAGTTGAACTATCTGCATCAAAACACAGAAGTATGTTGCATCATGCTTCTCTACCTATAGAATGAGGAAGTGACATTTTGTTAATGATTTTCCGAGCAAGCATTAGATGAAGGTGTGTTCCTGCAGTGTAAAATATTAACCTTAGAACATACTTGCTGAACAAGTAAACGTATCTAAACATTTATGAATATTTTCATAGCCTAAGTAATACAGAAGGAATTTGCTGCTTTTTCTTTTTAGACTTGAATTTTTTGAAAGATAGGATGATGTTTATGTATTTGTATTTTGATCTGGCTAACTGTGAGATCCTTGAATATTAAAATCAAATTTTATTTGATTTGTTCACTTCAGACGTCTTTATTGTGCAAATCTGCTATACATGCCGGAGTAATTGCCAATGAACTGGGTGGCCAGATTAGTGTGATTAAGATGAAAGGAACACAGCGATACCAAGGAATCCTGGCCAATGACATACTTTCACAGGAGTAAGTACTGGCCACATTCAGGTACTTGTGTCTCACCCTTTTCACTTAAGATATCTACCAGCATTTTCCTTATGGATAGAGCTTTTTGAGTCTCTCTTTTGTGTGAGCCATGATTAAATTAGGAAGTCCCTGTTCATCCAGGAAGCTGGGGTTGTGCTCAGACAATGAGACTTCAGCCTCATAAGCTAACATTTGCCTGTGTTCCCAAGTTTTGCTCCTTCCTTTATGCACGTAAACAAACCAGGAAGTCTGGGATTAACTCTACTTTTCTGTTTTAGCTGAACTAGGGAAATAACATAAATAGCTTTTTGAACAATGTAGGTTTGTCCTGCTTTAGCTCTAGTTGGCCCTAACAAGCAGGCATGAAGAACAGGCAGGATTATTTTTAATATATATGTGTTGTTGTGATAATTTTTATGCTTATGTTGTTTGGATAATTTTATGCTTATGTTGTTTACTCTGTATGTTTTGATGTCTGTTACTTGGAAACCACCCTGAGTCCCCTAAGGGAGAAAGAGCGGTATATAAATAAAGTTTTATTATTATTTATTATAGTAATAAGGGGTTAGAATGAAATCAAATAAAAAACAACCCAAATGTTGATTGTGGTGTATCTTTTTTCTTTCTTTCCAGTGGTTCTCTATCAGATAAGCGGTTTATTTTCCATTCAAATGGTAAGAAATATTATCTTATTCATACACACTTATGCGCACACAGGCATACTTCTGTACATTGTCGTTGAAGATATAAAAATAATATTTTAGTGATTTTGTCACTGAGGAATGTGTGACCAGCATATATGAATCAAGGCATTTTAAAACAGGGGAGTGGTTGAACAAACATACACATTCCGCATACGCTGTAACTATGCTCAGAGCCCTCATGTTTTTTTTTTCAGTACTGTTTTTAATACTGTTAATGTTTACTTCTATTTTAATGTTTATTTATTTATTGATTTTAAATTATATTGTTTTGGTTTTATTGTGAGCTGATTTGAGTAACATTTTTAGAGAGATAAAGCAGGATGATGATAATGATGATGACAGTGATAAGAGCAATATTGTTCCGGGGTAAAACATATGAGGCAATGAGACTGTTATGTCAGTGGGGGGCTCCCAGTATGGCATGCAGTCCAATCAGAATATAGACAAAAAAATAAAAATAAAAATAAATTAAAAAAATAAAAATAGACAAGAATAAGAGCACTCTTTCTCTCTTCTTTCGTGTAAACACTACACATATTGATGATGATGATGATGATGATAATGATACTTTTTTATATCCCGTTTTTCTCCTTCACGGGACCCAAAACGACTTACAACATATTAAAATTATGTAAACAACAATCCAAATACATGGATGATAAAGATAAAACATCATAAAATAAACAGCTTAAAACAACAATAATATACATTCACATTCTTGTAGCATCATGTCAGATTATATTGCACTTTTTTTCAGTCCATAAACATTATGGTGTTTCTTATTACTCCAGCTGATGCCTCCACTGAGCTTTTCAACATGATTCATCCAATCCATCCCCATGAATCCAGTGTACTGTCAGCTCTCCCCAACTGTTACATTTTCCTCAAAAGTAGTGACTTGAACGCTGTTTTGGATATAAACCAAAGCCATCTGGAGATGAATCTTGATGCATTCAAGATTAATTGTTACACCATTTCTTTGGTTTATTTTGCAATGAAAACTTGTTTAACAGTCACATTTTTTCTCTTTTGCCCCCACCTATAAACACCCCCCCTTTTTTTTGCTTTCACTACTTACATATCCTTCCAGAAAGCTTTTAATCTTGAACAAGACTTATGTCAAATGCATGGGTTTTGCATATCAGATGGGGCTTTATCTCAGATTAGGATCATGAGGTCAGTGGAATAAGCAAATATTTACAGGAACTATTGATGTGATCCAAACAGTATGTGATCCAGTGATAAAAGTAATCCAGTTTACTGAATGAATGGCTGTCCTCATTGTTCTTCAGCTGAAGTCAGCAACACAACCTAATCTTTCATTTACCCTATGTGACGTTGTTAGTGTTGAGGGATGATGGGTTTCATTTGGAAATGTAACTAGTTATTTGTTTCCCAATATGCATGTATACTAATTTTGTGGGGTTTTTTTTTTACATTTTGAATTTTAAGGTTGCAATAAATCATTGGGCCTAGAAGGAGGAGATACTTCAAAGGGTCACATCACTTCATCTTCATTCTGGGAGGAAACCAGTGAAATTGGGGAGGTGACTCAGTGGTCTCCTGATAAGGCCTGGCTCAAAGTTCAAGGACCATCCTGGGCTGCCAATCAGAGCAACCATCGCCAGTGGCTGGAAATTGACCTGGGAGAGAGAACAAGAATAACAGGTCTGTTAACTGCCAAGCAGATTGTGTTCTTATCTGTCTGAAGTCACTATGGTTTTGATAAGCATCATTCAGATGTGAAACATGATCAGATGCCGTTTGCTTTCTATTTTGGAAGCTAGAGATTTGTGAGCTTAAATGCTGTGGAGGGGTACATATCAGTGTAACCCACAATTAAAAGTGTAATGTTTTAGAAAAGAGCCCTGTCCATGCCTCTCTGCTATCACTGCAGTTATTATCCATAAAAACATAGTTATTCAAATTGTACCCTGCCTTCACTAGCAAAGAGAATTCGAAATGCAAAGCTATGCCTTTAGGCCAAATTCCTCTGCATTCATCACAGCATTTCAGGAGCAAAGGGTTTTTCTAGTAACACAATAGGAAATGATTTATGGTTGGATAAAATGCAGAAGGCTCATTAGAGCTGGTTTGTGGTGTGCTCCTCTTATCAACTGCTATTAAGCCTTTATTGGTGGAATGTAGAAAGGAATTTTCCAAACCCATGTCTTCTGTTGTCCTTTTGGAACCATGTAATTGGTTGTAACTTATTATTTAAACATTATTAGAGAGGTAGATGGACAAAACTAAATATAGCTGATTTCACTGCAGCTGTTGAACTGTCAATGGCACTTTGCTTATTCCTTTTTTATGTACCATACATTTTAATGTTACCAGGAGCATCATAGATTTATTCTGCTTACTGAAAGATGGGCTGAACTTTCAAGAAATACCCTCATATTTATATTTTGCTACTCAAAAATAATGTAATGTAGGTCACTAGCTTGTATAAAAAAGTCAAAATTCATCCTGGAAACTCCGAGAAATCTTCAGACGATGCTTTTGCTACCCCCACACAAGAAAGGAAGTTACACAAACTCACTCTCACCCTCTCCCTCTCTCTACATATATATGGTAAAGGTTTCCCCTTGACATTAATTCTAGTCCTGACTGACTCTGGGGGGTGGTGCTCATCTCTATTTCTGGGCCAAAGAGCCAGAGTTGTCCGTAGACACCTCCAAGGTCATGTGACCAGCATGACTGCATGGAGCGCCATTATCATTCTGCCGAAGTGGTACCTATTTATTTACTCACATTTGCATGTTTTCAAACTGTTAGGTTGGTAGAAGCTGGGGCTAACAGTGGGAGCTCACTCCACCCCCCTGATTTGAACCACCAAACTTTTGGTCAACAAGTACTGCAGCTCAGCGGTTTAATCTGCTGAGGCACCAGGGGACCCTGTTGAAAGTGATAGTGTATCATAAAGCTAAAGATTTTCAAAAATATGTCTTTAAATAATATGAACTAGTTACTTTTTCTTTTTAAATTAATGAACAAAAACTTACCTTCTTTTAAAACTTTTTTTCTTAAAAGGAATTAGAACTACAGGGTCCACTATGCTGAATTTTAACTATTATGTTAAGACCTTCATTGTGAACTATAAAAATAACAACTCAAAATGGAGGGTTTACAAAGGAATCCTGAGCAATGAAGAAAAGGTAATCAAGCGGAAGATGGAAAGGGAAGGGTTAGGGTTGGATGCTTTGACCTCCAGTTGGCACTTCATTATGAACTACTATCTATCCTTTTCTTCATATAATAAAGAATTGCAGTCCATTGTATGAGTATGTTTAAATCCCATTGACTCCTGCAGGGATAAAGTAGCCTTATAATGCACATGACTGCAGCCTAGGTTTGACTAAGTCATGGGCTATTTGTTTATACATTACATTAGGAAAGCTTGCTTCACAATTTTTTTTTTGGAGTGTCAGGAGCGACCTAAGAAACTGCAAGTCGCTTCTGGTGTGAGAGAATTGGCCGTCTGCAAGGACATTGCCCAGGGGATGCCTGGATGATTTGATGTTTTTATCATCCTTGTGGGAGGCTTCTCTCCCCACATGAGGAGCTGGAGCTGATAGAGGGAGCTCATCTGCCTCTCCCCAGATTCGAACCTGCGACCTGTCGGTCTTCAGTCCTGCCGGCACCGGGGGCTCCTCTGCTTCACAGTGATGATTGTGTTGCAGAAGAAGTAATAATAGAAGAAGAGAGGTGGTCTCCCCACCTCAAGCTTAAACAATAACACTGTTTAAGCTTGAAGAAACTGTGAAAAATACAATACATGAACAGAGGCAATGAGTCCCAAAGTAGAGTGTGCTCAAGTGCCCTCTGAACCATATTCTCCACAGATGGAGAAAGCATTTTAACAGTCCTGCACATGCATACACGAACAGTGAGAGGCCTAAGTGGATAAACCCTCTCCCTTGCGTGAAACTCAGGGCATTGAGCCAGATCGGATGATTTTCAGGGAGAAAAGCTGTCTTAGTCACATGTGGCGGGATGAAGGGAACTAGACAGCACAATATAGGAGATGCAGAATGAGTTGATTAGCACATTTCATGACAAATTTAACTGTTGAGCTAGCAACAAAATCTCGCTATTGTCACAATGCTCAATCTTTTGGATTGGCTATACTGTTTGAATGAGAGGAAAGTGTCTTCAATAGCTCTAATTATAGAAAGCCCTCACAGTCCTTTGACCTCCCTGAGTTCTTTCCATCCATTTCCTATTATGTGGAAGAGTGGGATCTAATACCCACTAATCCAGTGGTTCCCAACCTGTGGTTCGTGGACCACCAGTGGTCCACAATAATGAAAATATAGTCCACTGCCTCAAAACTATGCGGCAACAAGAGCAACTGGTCTCACAAAACCCTCTTATAGTGCCGAAGTAATGGGGGTGTTGGGAGGGGAGAGATTGACTACCCACGAAAGAGTACTGCTACCACATCAGCTCTAAATTATTAAATATGGTTTTTTGTGGGCAAGCAGATGGCAACTACTGGATGGCATATGTTCTGTATCCGAAACTAGAGCTGATGTGGTCTATCCTATTCAGTTTTCTGAATCAGCACCTCAAATAACCAAACCAAATCTAAAGTTGACCAAAAACAAATTCATAACCCTTTTGGTACTAATGTTGGAGAATAGTCCTGGGTCAAAGTGGTCCTTGTTCAAGTGATCCCAGGTCAAGCTGTCCCTGGTCAAAAAAAGGTTGGGAACCACTTCTCTAATCCATCCTATTCCCCAGGGTTCAAACGTGTGCTCCACAGTATTAATTATTCATGTGTATCTTTGTGTGAGATGTTTTAATTTGTTTTCAGTATGTATGATCTAAACATACGTTTCATGTTTATTTCAAATTATAGGTATTCAAAGCTAATTCAAATCATGGAGGTATAGTACGGAATAATTTCATTCCTCCCATAGTCGCCAGATATGTAAGGATTATTCCACAGAGCTGGCACAAAAGAATTGCTCTGAAGGTGGAACTTCTTGGTTGTCGTTTTGCCCAAGGTAAGCTATTTTTATCTTTATAAATATTTGATAGGTGATAGAATATGAGTGCCACATAAATCTGCTAAGATTCACCTAATTTTGTATTCTCTCTTCAGTGAACAACTCCATTATTTATCCTATCTGGCAAAGACCAAGTCAAAGTACAGGTGTTTCAGTCAGAAAAGAAGACAGAACGATCACAGAACCTCTGCCTCCAGAAGAAAATAACCTAGGTACTTAGCACTCATTCTAAAAGTTTTCAAAAATTAAAGTAACGCTTTCAGAACTTAACCCCTGGTGATGCAGCAGATTTAACCAATGAGCTGCTAAAATTTCTGACTGAAAGGTTGGCATTTCGAATCCAGGGAGCGGGGTGAGGTCCTGCTGTTAGCCCCAGCTTCTGCCAACCTAGAAGTTCGAAAACATGCAAATGTGAGTAGATCAATAGATCTGGCGGGAAGGTAACGACGCTTTGTGCAGTCATGCTGGCCACATGACCTTGGAGGTGTCTACGGACAACACCAGCTCTTCAGCTTAGAAATGGAGATGAACACCATCCCCTAGAGTCAGACATGACTAGACTTAATGTCAGGGGAAACCTTTACCTTTACCTTTTTCAGAATTTATCCCCCATGTTGGTTCTTGCACTTGGGCATATTAAGTTAATGAAAAGTAAACACTTAAAAATGATTGCAATCTGTTCCTTGTTTTTAAATATTGGGAACGTAAATTGTGAACGAATTAATTTTTCTCGAGATCAAAATGATTTTAAGAATACATGCTTTTCTGTATACCAGTACAATGTGATTTATTTATTTGTTTTGGTATACAGCTCAACTCTCAGACAAGTTTTTAGAACTTGGGTTTTTGCTTATTTATTTTGGCTTCTCTTTTTCTTTAGGAGCAAAATTGACTGTTATAATCGTTCCAGTCTTAGTGGTGCTTTTTTTGTTCTTGATATCTGGAATTTGTATCTCTGCTGCCCTGCGAAAGTAAGTGACAATTTCTTTTTTGAGCTGAAAAGTGTGATCCTTCTCATATGATTAATCCCTTCTCATGTATCATTGTTCAAAGAGCAGTTATCAGATTTACTGGACACTACTTGCAGTGAGAGCTGGGTTCTCAGTTCTTGTCTGAGCCATTGTTGTCATAAGACAGGAAGGAGCAAAGACATAACACAAGAAGCCATATTGATAATTACTCAGTTATGTGCATGGACAATTTAGAATGTGGAGCTGTGGTCACCCCCTGATTGCAAGAAACAGGATCAGAAATAATCATAACAGTTTTGACATCCTATATCACAGTTAAGGATGTGCATTGTTCCATATTCATTATCCCTAAGTGGTTGCTGATGTGACACTCTTGCCAGTCATAAATGCCCTCTCAAACCTACCTTACCAGGCATCATTTGCATCAAGTAGGAGCCCCCTTTGGCACAATAGGTTAAACTTGTTCCAGCAGGACTGCTGGCTGAAAGGTCAGCAGTTCAAATCCGGGAAGTGGGGTGAGCTCCTGTCTGTCAGCTCCAGCTTCTCATGCGGTACATTTAGCCAGACTTAGTGGATCTTGAGTATGTCCATGCCCACAAAGCTTGAGGGCACTCACTGCAATTTACAGAGTGACCCAGTGGGCATCTCAACTCACTTCAGAGAAGTGTTTAAAAACCTTTTTCTTCATTACAGGAAAGGAAAGAAAGGTGTTGCATATGGTTCCTGCAGCACAGGGAAACCAGGACCAGGTTAGTAGTAAAAAAAAAAAGAAGGAAAAAAAACCCTTTTTAACATAGTAAAAGTAAGAGGAAGGCATAATGGCCAAAATCTGATCAGTATTCTCCTGTAAGGTAGATTCATTGCATCAGTTCTGGAATGAATGTTAAATCAGTAGTTGATTCATTAGGTCTACTTTTCCAATTTTAACTTTACATTTGGCCTTCCCACTGTTTTTAATTGTGTGTAGTCTTATTGTTAATTGTTGCATATTTTGTTGTCTATGTTTTTTATTTTAATTGCTTGTATTGTTGTATTTGGGCTCGGCCTCATGAAAGCCGCACCGAGTCCCTTGGGGAGATGGTAGCGGGGTACAAATAAAGTGTTGTTGTTGTTGTTGTTGTTACTTTAGTTGGGACTATCAGTAGGATGCCAGCTAATGTTTCTTATTATGTGTCAGTAATGAGTTTTTCACAGGTATTTGAAGTACCCTCTTGATATGTTTGTCCCCCATTCCCAACCATATTAACCCAATATGTGAGGATTGTTCCACAGTGCCAGCACAAAATAATACAAAAAATATGGAGCTTTTGTCCTTAATGTTGGGGTTCTACTGGAACATACGGATAGCAGCTAGTTCCAACTTTCCTTTTTTCATCTTTCTGTTCCTTGGTGCCACTATGACTGATTTGCAAAAACTTTGCTTACGCATCAGTGACTGACTGGGATCCTGTTCGTTACTCCTAGCTAGATTAGTGTAATGAATCAATTGTTGAATGACTTGTTTGTGGAAGGCCATCCTGGTTGAATGACCGGTTTGTGGAAGGCCAAAAACTGTTCCCACAGTTTTTGGCTCTTTCTGAGAAGGGCCTTTTTTATTCTCAGTATAAGCTATAACTTAAATTTGGTAAGTTCTTGAGAAGCAGGTATAACATGTTAGCTTTCTGTTCTAGGTTTCTGGAATCAAATCAAGCATCCCTTTATCAGACATCCATCTACTGAGTTCACCATCAGTTATAATAATGAAAAGGAAATGCCTCAAAAGTTAGATTTGGTCACAAGAGACATGGCAGGTAACACCGCTCTCCTTTGAATACAGTTGATATGTAGAGTGTAAGTGTGCAGGGAATGGGTTTAATCTCGCCACTCATGACTAACCAGAGTTAATATAGTTCAGTATTATGGTGCATAAATTTATTTGCTTGGAGATTTTTCATCTATCTTAAATAGAGTACAAGCATGTGAGTGGGATTTAGCTGTCTGTTCTTTTATAGAATTTGGTGTCCTATGTTACCTTGAGTGGATTCTTATTTTATTTAATTACTTCAGCTGTAATTCATGATTACAGGTATGGATGTGTAACCTAGAGTTTCATATTCATAACTAATTCCACAGCAACTGCAGTGCCAGAAGTGATGAATAAGCATCTCAACTATTTATTTATTTATTTATTTATTTATTTGCAACATTTATATCCTGCCCTTCTCACCCCGAAGGGGATTCAGGGTGGCTTACGTAATTGCCATTATTTCATGCCCAAACTGCAATTAAAAGCAATTAAACAACAATTTAAAACAACATTAAACAACATATGTAAAAATTAGATTACTATTGTGCATAGATCCAAAGACAGATAATCAATTAATTGTATTCATAAATCCAGGGTCAATTCCAACTGTATTACAAAGATAATTCTGCTGAACCAAATGCTTGCTCCCAAAGCCAAGTTTTCACTTGTTTGCGAAATGACAGGAGGGAAGGGGCCAATCAAATCACACTAGGGAGGGAGTTCCACAACTCAGAAGCCACCACTGAGAAGGCCCTGTCTCTCGTCCCCACCAGTCACAGCTGTGAAGTTGGTGGAATCGAGAGCAGGACCCCTCCAGAAGGTTCATAGAGAGAAATGTGTTTGGACAGGTATGTTGGGCCAGGGACATTCAGAACTTTATAGGCCAAAGCCAGCATTTGGAATTGTGCTCAGTAGCAAACCGGCAACCAGTGGTGCTGGTGCAATAGGGGGGTTGTGTACTCCTTATATGCTGCTCCCGTTAGCAATCTGGCTGCCGCAGATTGGGCTAATTGAAGCTTCCGAACAGTCTTCAAAGGCAACCCCATTGATGGCACTTATCAACTCTCCTTTTTAAAGTTGTCCAATTTGGCAACCTTCACTACATTAGGTGGCCAATATTGAGCCCATTTGGAGTTGAGATGCAGTGTTCTAGATTAATTACTTTGTATTCAGAGTACATTAAAAGTTGGATTTATGAGCAGGTGTGAAGGGTGGGTCTGCCTTATGTTGAAAGGGAAACTAATATGTCTTATTCTGTAACGATTTCCGCAAGGGAAGTAATACAGCAGAATGCAAAAAAGGCATTGTATTTCCCCAGTGATGGATGTGGCAGGCTTAAGTAATAGTTGACATCCAGTTTCTTCTGAATTCCAGAGCTACCTTTTCTTTTCCATCAGATTATCAGCAACCTCTCATGATAGGAACTGGGACAGTAACTCGAAAGGGCTCCACCTTCAGACCAATGGATACAGAGGATGAGAAGAAAGGTTGCGTAGAGACTGGGAACCACTACCTCTGTCCACCAAGAGCCAATCGTCATGATTATGCCCTACCTCTAACCAGTCAAGAGCCTGAATACGCCACTCCTATCATAGAGCGGCATATGGGAAGAGAAAATGCTCCGCCTTCCGAGCGCTGCTACAACATTCCCACTGTTTCTGCAACTCATAAATACTCTGTTTCTGCAGGCAGCTTCACTGCCTCGTGCAAGAGTGATTCTGAAAGCGGAGACTATCAGACACCACAAAATCAGAAGGGATATGATAAGCCAAAAAATAATATTTTGCCCATGGTGGATTATAGCACTGGCTACCAGAAGCCCCAGACTGGTTCAGGGATGCGTGAAGGCTATTCAACACCCAGATACTACCTGAAACCGATAAACCAGACTGCAATGACAGCTCTCCTATAACCTAGAGACCAATGAAAAACTTGGCTGCCCTCATGGCCCAGGCACTGAAATGGACTTTCATAAAAACTATGTTTGTTTTTGTACAAGGATGGTGGACAAAAGCTAGAGTCTACAGTTCATCACTCAAGCCTTCACAAAGAGGTCTACAAGAAGTCAGTTCTCTGCAGCTGTGATATTGGTGCTCTAATCTAATGTTGTGCAATGTGTACATATGTTTTTAATTTAAGAAATGTAACTTAAATGATTCCATTAATTTGTTTTGTTTTGTTTTGTTTTGGTTGTGTGTGTGTGTGTGTGTGTGTGTGAAGGAAGTGTGTTGATGAGACTATTTCTGGGATGGTGGAATATAGGTAATGCATATTACACCAATCAGTGTTTTTGCCCCAAGCTTCTTCCTCAAGTGTCCTTTTAATGAAAGGTTTTTCAAACTCAGTATAAAAAACTGCAGGTAATCAGGACTAAAATCAAAAATATTTAATTCTGTGTCCCCACAGTACTGATTGATAGTTAAAAAAAACTGAATGTTAACATGTTTAAAGTTATGTGAATTGGGCAGTAGCTTTGTCATCTTTACCTGATGTTTTGTGATCCCACTTGCCAAGAAATGCATAAGACATTGGGACCACATATTGATTTCATTCATCATCACTGTAGAGATTTCAGCAGACACTGTTAATACTCCTTCAAGCATTCCTATGCACCCCTAACCAACTATAAAGCCACTTTTGCAACTGTAAAAATGTGTTAGTTGTTCATACCAAAAGGCAGCATGGTGTAGTGATTTGATTCACCAGAAGTCCTGTTTTGGTGTGTCATCTAGCATAGAATATTTCAATTTCTTTTTTTCTGCCTCTGTACTTGAGTACAAGCTTGGATAAGGGTTATTTTGATGGGTATTCTCCAAGGTCTTATTGGTAGTATTCAACCAGTCTTTGCATAATATCCTTGGACTGTTTTTGCTACATCTTTCTTACTGTTCATTTCTTCTTTGATTTACATTTCCTGAGTAAAACACAGTGTAAACCGACCCCAAATACCCCATTTCTGTCTGTCCGCTTCTGCACACTCATCCAGTGTATTGCAATGTTTATAGATTTCATTGCTTATTTTGTCTCTCTTCTCCTGATTCATGCTTCTTGTGTTCCACATTCCTATAATATTTGTTGTGCAACTTTCCTTTCACCTCTGAGCATATTCATGGCTGAACGCAGTTTCAGCTGGAAACCCATTTTGTCTTTAGCTACAGTGCCACTTTTATTGGTCTTTGCTGTATCCCAGTTGCTCACTAATTCCATCAGGCTTGGAAGTCAGCTTTTGGCACTATCTCTTGTTTATTTTGGAATGTTTTATCAAAGGGTTTTCATGGTAAAAGACATTCAAAAATGGTTTACTGTGCAAAGTGTTAGTCATGGTGGCACTACTGTTGTCTCTAAGAGATTCTCTGTCAGTATCACCTCCCACTCTGCCAGTGTCACATCTCACTATAGCTGCTGCCCTGTAACCACTTGGCACATTTAGTCTGGCTCGTCAGCAAAAGTCTTATCTGACATGGAAGACCCTGCTACCAGCAGAGCTACCATCAGCACAGATTCATGTCTCACAGGAGCACTCAGTTCCACCACCAGGATCCCATTGGTGGGTTCTTCAACTGAAACATACAAGTTTGAATAATTTATGATGCCACGTCGTACTGCAAGGGCATGTTTGAGTTCCAGAAGAATACACAAGTAGGGTCAGTGCATGTATCCAAAGATACTTACAAAGTGATAGATAAACCAAATGGTTGGTATTGACAAACTCTACTGGAAACATAATTTGAAATGCTGGAGGCATAACAACTTGCTGAGTTTTGCCTTTTTTGGTGAAATCCCAAAGTGAAGTTATATAGCTACCATCATTGCCTTTGCATCCAAGAGCTGGGGATTTTGGTCCACAATGTAGAAAAGCTGTTCCAAACAATATAGATTGAAATATCCAATGGTGACTAGGAGTCTCTTGCAACAAATTAAAGTAAAATATACATAACAGTTACTAAATCTGACATAAGTGTAGAGAAAATCAACAAGCATCTCACTGATAAAGTCATAGCTGCAACAAGATCAGCTAGAACAGGGGTCCTCAAACTAACGCCCGGGGGCCAGATACGGCCCTCCAAGGTCATTTACCCGGCCCTCGCTCAGGGTCAACCTAAGTCTGAAACGACTTGAAAGAACACAACAACAACAATCCTATCTCATCAGCCAAAAACAGGCCCACACTTCCCACTGAAATACTAATAAGTTTATATTTGTTAAAATTGTTCTTCATTTTAATTATTGTATTTTAGGTGTTTTTGCACTACAAATAAGGTATGTGCAATGTGCATAGGAATTCATTTTTTTCTTCAAATTATAATCCGGCCCTCCAACAGTTTGAGGGACTGTGACTTGGCCCTCTGTTTAAAAAGTTTGGGGACCCCTGAGCTAGAACGTGACAAATTAGGTCACGAAGACAAGGTATTGTTCCACTTTCTTCAGTTATCATTGAATGAAAAGTAATAGCTTATTGCTGATGTATTTCTGTGGTTGAGGAGAAGCGTTTTCAGAAGATAAGTCTTCGATCAATAGTATGAGGTTAGCAATCGGAGAAGGTGATTGCACCAAAAATGTTAGCAAACACAGAAAGAAAGCTTAGCATGGCATGGTTATGTGTATTCTCTTTTCCAGCAGTTGCAGGATGGCTGACTTGTTCTGTGTATGTACTGGGAACTAATTAGGTTAAAGACCTAATTTCCTGGGGTCAGATCCTATGCTGCAGAACCCTTTGCTTTGAACTCTTTTCACTCTGTGAATAATTCTGGACTTTGCTCTGATGAAAGCTCATTTAAACACATGAGGATTAGTGTATCGGTTTGAGACAAGAAGTGTCATTAGTCCATTAATAGTGAGGGAAAGTATGCCTAAGCTTTTGCTGTGTTGTGGCAGAAGAATCTGCAGCAGTATACATTCTATTTTTTCACACCAGGGGAGAGACTAGAACTACTGGTATTAACAGGACTAGAGGAGAGTCTTTATGATCGTGTTAAACATCCACTTCTTTTCTACTGTAACTCAATGGAGTTAACAGCAAGTAAACAATACATGTCAGTTCCTGGCTTTTCAAATTCATAGTATCTTCTGAATGCTCTACTGGTTGCTCATATTATTTGTGTGTGTGTATCTATGAATACATATAGATATATATCTACACTCAAACATGTGTTTCTGTGTGTATATGGTCATTCAATCATTTCAAGCAATTTGATGTGGAAGGGATTCGAGGTTTTTTTCTCCACTATGCCTTGGAGCAGTACTACGTTTGTACCCTTTGACACAAATGTTTCTAAGAAAGGCTCCAACGACAGTCAGTAGTTTGCAGTCCAGCACCGAACTAGGGATAGCACTGGTATCAGTAACAAATCCCATTGCATTTCAAGCAAGCTCAGCTGTTTCTCAATATTCAGTCTGCATGGGACTTCCTTAAAGTTTTGGATGCAGCATGCTGTAAGGCAGGGTTCCCCAAACGTTTTAAGTAGAGAGTCGGTCCATGGTCCTTCAGACTGTTGGGGGGGGGATATAATTGTATGTGGGTGCATACACAAGCATCGTATGTGCATAGGGTGTGTGTGCATGCATCAGCCATGCATGCATACGGCAGCCATGCCACACACCGCCACACACCCACAGCTGATGCTCACACTCATCCTCACCACACACTCACTGCCACTCACATGACCTTGCTGCTGCCACACAGTCACACATACAGTTGTTGCCACCATTGCATGTGAACATGGTGATAGTGGTGACGGCCAGGGGAAAGACCTTGGCAGACCGGATTCAAGAAATTGCTGTCCAGGTTACTTCGAAGGGCTATTTACAGGCCCACTTTCCCTGCAGTGCTGCACATCCTTTACTATACTCTTGATAACGTAGATGCTTAATTACCTGATGATCTTCACATGGTTTCCTCTGGAGAACATTGTGGGGGAAGCTAACTAGTGGAAGACAGAACTGGTCACCATGGACATCCAAAGCACAGGACTCCATCACTGCAGATTCCTCTGACTTTCTGCCTCATTATTGTCCTGACATGTTTATGTCTAGAGGGAGTTAGTTTTACAGCATGTACTATAGACTATAAAAAAAAGGTTACTCACAAAGAATCTCAAGGCCATCATTGTGGTTCAGAGATAAGACTATCGTCACAACATTTCTCCTGGCAAGAGGCAAAAACAGCTGCGGTGACCCCTATCTAATAGACTGATTACCTCAAGGTTATAGATATAACTGATCAGGTTAAGAGTTTTTAAAAATATAATGCATAAGTTTTCATAACTCTTTACCTGATCTTGCAAATAACTCCAGAGAAATGATGGCCTTTGTGCACCAATGTGCACAAAGGCCATCATTTCTACTGACTTATTTGCAAGAACAGGTAAAGAGTTGAAAAGCTTGTGCATGTGTATATATCTTTTGGGATGGTTCAAGGATCCATTCTCAGCTGAGTTTTTATTTAATTTCTTTTCAAATTAACCATTACATTACATGAGAAGTTTAGGATACAGGTTGACCATCCCTTATTCATAATTCGGAATTGTGTTTTCAGTTTCCGTAAAAGGGCACAGAAGTTATTTCCAAGATCACAAAGTTCCATAAAACAACACAAACTCCTTGCAAACAGATTTACACTTAGCAAGACTTAATCTATCCCATGTGGCTATTTTAATGGATCACCTATAGTACTACTAAAGATACCAAAGATGAGCTTGCAATATGAACAGAAAATATTCATTTTAAGTGTTTGGGGGTATGTTTCATGTTGTTCTGAGTGTGTAACAGCTGAACCTTTTTATAATTTGTAACCCATTGAGATAACCATTCTTTTGCTCGATCTTTGGGCTGAATATGCTCCAGGGCAGTAGTGTCAAAATGTAATTAACTGCAAATAGATATTTATTGACCTGATTGCTATGGCATGACATACTTAAACCAGTTTTTATAGTCAAAACCCATTGAAATGTGACTGTATTCTGAGAATTTATAAATGGGGAGCACTATGTACAAGAACACTGAAAACAAAGTGCACATAGATATCACACCACGCACCTTTATTGTAGAAAAATCAGTAACATTTTCTGAAACTGGCAATGTATAGCAGTGCCAGAAGCAATATGATACATTCTGAAGAATGCCATATTTGCGGGTGAGGGGTGGACAGACATTCAGTGGGAAATGG